AATTGACCAATTATAGTCGACTATTCTTACGACTACGACTTTACGACTTCTATGTAGACGAGGCTTAAAGCCTCCGCTACAATGATTCTCGGTTCTGTCTACAATGGTCGTAGTCGTAAGAATAATCGACTGCGATTGGTCAATTCTTATCGAGCGACTACGACTACGACTATTGTAGACAGAACCGAGAATTATTGTAGCGGAGGCTTTAAGTCTGTTCTAACGATTGTACATACATATGTATCTAGCCTTACGAGTGCTAAATAGAACGTACCTGTTGTGTTCTGTATAGAACTTGTCATTGAGCAATATGGTAGCTGTCGAAGTCAACATGATCGCGTCCGATGTGATTGTAGGTCTTGAAAAATTTTGTTCGTAATGCAAACAAGAGAAACTTACAAGTGACAGTTTCGTCAAATAGCGTGTGGATAGATGAGAAGTAAACGTGCGATGAAAAGTAAAGCCGCCACGCGCAATGCTTTTCTCGTATCTCAATATCTATCATTAAGTTCAACGAATACATATCTCGGGTGTGGAGTGTCGTTTGTATTGGAGCGACGTTATACCGATTGACAGGTGGTGGCTATTTTCATACTTGTCGCAGCTTGACTTTAAAGATCTCCGCGTTTACGCTATGTTCGCCACTTTGAAGAACAAGATACGCGAGGAGATCGGCAGTGACGTGTCTACCGTCGTCAAGAATGCTGGCAGTATACGCAGCATTAATTCCAGACACGTGTCCCAGGTAATTATATCACTCAATATGCACTCAATATATCGTCGATACACATTTCATGCTTTAGAAATTAATTCGTTGGCTCGCTGAAGTCAGACGACATTTTTTCGTCTGGCAAATTAATTTTTAGAAAACACTACAGACCCGATCTGTATATATACATATCAAGATTACATTGTTACATGTTTTAGTTTTTCCAGTACATTTTTCGTTACTTGATCGTACACCGATGTAAATGGAATTGACTCAAAACTAATAATTTACAAATTTAAATTGCTTAGTTCGAGTATACATAACCTAAACGTTCAATCTTTATAGGTTATATCTGAGTGTCAAAAAGACCGGAAGATAAAAAGTTCGATAACACGTTGAAGACGCGAACAAAAAACTTTTATAGTCCTGTAGTTACGTATATGAGGAATGGAGAGGGAATTTTTTACTCTAATTCTTAGCTCCAATTCGGTGCCTTGAACTTCAGTGTCTGATTTATTTTGTAATAGATATTGTTGTAATCCAACAATTAAAAATAATTTAATTATTAAACTTATTAATAATAAGTAGTGATTTGTATATGTGTAAAACATAACATTTTTTAAATGTAGGTATTTCCTTAGTTATTGGATAACAGAATTCGCGTAAATTATTATTAATGTATTATTTATGTATGACTGGAAAAAACGACGCTTTTCTTAGTATTTATTGTTGCGACCATATCACTACAAATATCAATGATCAAATTGGCAAGACACTTATTTTAAAAAGTAGGAGAGTCCAGGTTTGAACCTTGAGGTGATATTTCCTTGCAATAAATTCCTTGTAGATTTATGAGATACTCACTCAGCATCAGTAAAATGAATGGATCATTAGTGATAATACATTTTCTTTGGTATAAAACTGCATGCTAAAACTAAATGGTAATTGGCAAAGGCATAAAGATGAAATGTATAACATTCACAGGAAAATGATTAAACATAAGATCTTGAAAGTAACAATATTTACTATTATTAGTCACTTAAGGTCCTCTTCTATAATATGTTTGTAATCTAGCTTAAAATTTCACCACCATAATGACACAGTAGAATTTTGTATGTTTAATTCTTTATCATAAATATAAAAATAGAATTTTTTCTGAAAAGTAGTTTTGGACACAATTCTATAAACATTTGTGTGATAAAATAATGAAATAAATAAGGCGTCTTTGACACATTGTCCGAAAATTTAGTGAACTCTTGAGGGATTAATTCTTGATTTACTGGAAAAAGTGAGCAAGTTGACATTATATAAATCATTATACAAATCTTCTAATAGTAATTTTTATTATGTATATTATACTAATGTTCTTATACATATATGTTGTTATTACAGATAGGCTCTACAAGTAGTATTAGTGATTCTCAAGTATCGTTAGATAGGTCAAAAGAAGAAAATGCAGCGTCTCCTTTACCACCTATTTCACCGAAAAGAGAGAGCAGTTTTGAACTTAAGCTTAATGATGAAATGCAATTATCTGTAAAAGATATAAAAAGGTTTGAAAGTAGAGAAGATGAATGGAGAAAACGTTTAGCAAAGAAGGAGGCAGAGATATTGAAGAGGATGGAGAAGAAGGAAGAAGAATGGAAAGTCAGACTCTTTGAAAAAGAGAAAGAATGGAAAAAAGTTGTAGAGAAACAGGAGAAGGAAAAACGACAATTAGAGGAAGAGATAAAAAAAATGGAACTAGCAAAACAGTCACTGGAATATGCTCTTCAAAATGCAGAAGGTACTTTCAAATAATGTAATTTTCAGGATATTATATCTATTTATTTTTCGTTCATTGTATTAGCATTTCATATATCGTATGTAAACATAAATGTGTAGGATATTTAAGTATTAATTTCAGTCAGATATCTTTCAATTTTGTCTAGGGATTGTTTAAAACTAAATCAATTATGTTTCATGGTTCTACAATTATAGAAAATTCTGATGTATAAAATTATGTTGTTTGAAATTTGATGATTTTTCGCAAAGGGGGAGGATTGATGAGCCACAATTTCGACCCCCTCTGGATTTTATTGTAAATTATCAGAAACAATTTCTTAATACATAAAATATTAAATTAAGCTGTTTTCAGCCTAAAGGGACATGTTCAATGTGGTAGTTATCTTGTTTTAAACATAGAAAGTCATATTTGTTGGTATTTTGTGCAGCGCTACGCAACTTGCCTGAAAATCATAGATATTATATTGTTGGAAAATCACATGAACATCATGATATAAAATTATTTTTGTACATAAAATTGATGCTGACAGTGAAATAGGTCAGATAGCACACACATACCTGGCTGCAAAGCTGTGAAAAATGAACTCGCGTTTTATTGTACTGAATCTATAAGGTGAAAAAAAAACTGACTTTGTTACCCTAGAAGATTATATATGTATTATAGTTATGTATTACATATTGGATTAGGCTCTAATAATCGGAAATGTAGCCCATCTTTCCCTTCGTGAGAGGCAAGGGAACTCAAACACCTCGAATCGTGAGAGGCAAGGGGACTCGTGTGAATCAAGCACCCCGTATTCAACTGTCAGCATCAATTATATTATGATGTTCATGATTTTCCAAATAAAAGACACTCTTACTGTTCAATATTATATTTTATCAACATTCTTAAATATTATCTTATTGTTTTTTTTTTCTAGAATATAAAAAGAAGTTGTACAGCTTTCAAGAAGATGCAGAACAATTGGAAGGTTTTCAAACACAGGAGATGGCAAAAGTTAAACATCTTGTATGTTTTATTTGAAATAATAGTTATATTAAATAGTTATATTAATATTAAAAATAATAGACCTTCACGTGACCTTCAAGCAACTATTCAAGGTCAAACCAATGGTACCATCTTATGTCCTTTAAACCAAACAACTTTTGTTTGAAACGTTTTTCTATATCTTTCATATTTTTGGAGATATTTACGTGGATCATTTAAATTAGACACCCTGTATATATATTACATCTTATTAATTAAAACAAGCTGTATTAACTTATTGATGATTGTTACAGTTGTTGGCTAAAGAGCAAGAAGTAGATGAGAAGACACATCATCTGAAAGCTGTTACAACAGAAATTGAAAATCTGAAGGCAGAAGTTTCCCGACTTAGACGATATGAAGATGAGTTAAACAACGTACAAGTAAGTAAATTGGTTTTCATTTATTCAAAGTTACTTTTAATTAATTATTGTTTATTTAAATAATTTACTTTCTTTTTAAAATACTTATTTTATAATACTTTCGATATTTGAATAATTATGTAGTATCTAGATAATTATTATATATTGATATTTATGTTTTATGTGGTATACCTGAATTATATTTCTGTTACGCTATTCTAATTAAAAAAGTTTAAATTTTTTTTGTCGTATATAAATTAAATGGTATTCTGTTAAAATAATCTATTCTTCATTCATAAACACATGATATTCTTTTTAATACAATCTGAGAAGAGAGCCAAGCAAAATACTTCTGCAATCTATCTTTATTTGCAATTTTATGAAAAATTCAAAAATTGTCTCGGCTGAAATATGACAAATTGTTGTTATGTAATCACAGATCCCCTTAAAGAATAACCTTTTTTTTAAAAAAAAAAGGTAAAAAGACGCCAAGTATAAGCGCCACATCCAATATATTGTACAATCGTAGCCATAAGTTTACTATTTTTATATAATAAATCTTTTACACAATATATAATATTGTTTGCACAAACAATAAATATTATCAAATAGAGTTAAACATGACCATTATGATGTGAATCAAACAAACGAATCAAATAACGCTGACAAGGGGAGTATCAGATAGTCACCTCACCAATTTTGTCGAACTTTATATATGTATGTGTAGTACCAATCGCCAACTACTTCATTTGCACGTGATACGGTGCAGTATTCACATATTTGCGAAAAATTTGCATTGGCCGCGTTCAGCAGACACAATTGTTGAGTGAGCTCTCAGTATGATTGGTTAATACTTTTAGATCCAGCCAATCATATTAAGAAATCATTGAGCGCTCACTCAACAGTTGTGCCTGCTGAACGCAGCTATTGACAATTTTTTGTGCGCGTTTATTTTATACGAGTATGTGAGCAAGGTTAGCAGATGGCAAACGTAGCCTAGCGAATAAGGCGATAGACGAGAATGTTGCAGGTCTGAATCCTGCTTTTTGCCAACTTTTAAAACATTTTTACTAAATGTGCATTAAAGTAAATGATTAGGCAATGTGGAGTCGTTGAATAAAAAAAATTAGTGTTTTTATTATTAAATTTAATATTGTATATTAACATGAATATTTTATATATTTTCATCTGCAATTATATATAATTCGTATACGAATATCAAAATTCGACACATTAGACAGTTAATTGCAATGAATATTACCACATGCCTCAGTGTTTAAATTGGTGAGACACCTGTCTAGTGAACAGGAGGGAGGTCCAGGTTCAAACCCTGGCTGAGGTAATATTTTTTGCAAGAAATCTTATAATAAAATTACTTAGACATAAATACCCTATCGTGGCTCAGAGCCTTTGTATTCTTCGAATTTTGTATTTTAACACATCCGAGTCTTACGTATTTACAAAATTTCGAATATAATTTTAATTATCTGAATAAATAACAAAATATATATAAACTCTCTTATTTAAAAAGATTCATTGTCATCATATTGTTAGTGATATCTTGACATAGTTATCAAGATCAAACTGTAGTCAGAGAGAAGCCTGACAGCAACCACAGCTGAATTTTAGGTGATACTAGAATATGATATGACCTCTGTAGACATTGGGAAACGTGGATATGAACTATGCCAATGTCCACATTTTGCCAAATAGGGAACGCAGGTTTGCGAAATTTTGATTCCATTTTGTGCTATAGTTAGGTTCCCTGCGATGCTTTTGTACTTGAGATTATTTTAGGTACAAAAGATCATTGATGGGGTCTAACCATAGCGCGGGACGCGACCAAAATTCCACAAACCTGCGTTACCCACTTAGCAAAATATGAACATTGGCTACGTCATTTATGTCTACGGTTTCCAATGTCCACAGAGGGTGAATCGCATTCGAGGATCACTTAAAACCCGGCCATGGCAGTTCTCAGAGTTCTCTCTGCTATAGTTACCTTTAGATGCTCTTTGAAAGCATTTTCCATCTAAAACTTTCTTTTAAAAGTTATATCTGTTTTAAAATAATTAGTTGATTTGTTTGAAATAAGACGTCCTGTAAAGTTTAGGTTTTAAAATTTACCAATCAAAATTCACAAGACAAAATCATTTTAGAAAATTATGTAATTAAAGTATTTGTTATTTTTTATTTTAAACAATTATTTTAGAAATATAAAAATATTTTAAAACTTGCGTATTGCAGTTTCGATAAATAGCTGTCTGTCTGGAAGTCACAGTAATTAGTTATTGCATATTTTAAGTATTCACTAATGTTACATCAAAGACTGTATATGATTATGAAATGTAAATCTAAACAATTAATATTTTTTAATGTTAAATTAAAATTTTATTTGTCTGTGACTCTTTTGTGATTTTAAACAAATTTTAAGATATATAAAATGAACCTAAAATCAAAACGTCATAAAGCCTGGTTGACCTGGCGTGCCAAATTTATACCAATACATATAAACTTTATTAAATGTTATGATTCTCATAAACTATTTATCGAAAAAGGTAAGATTAGATCATTATGTTACGATACAACTAAACAATTCTCTTAATATTTTTACGCGCATATCTAAGTAGTATAAAGCATCGTTATGCTTAGATATGCTTTACTGATATCTTACCTTTTCCACAAAACTAAATTAAAAAAATATTTATATGTGATTACGTAAGTGGTCATTGACAGATGCTCAGAATTTACGCATTTCTTAAGCACGCTTGTTTGAAAAGGGATCTTTATATTTGTATTAATTGTTTTTGACAATAATACGTCGCTTTTTGTTTTGTCACAATTTGCCATACTTTTCTCTGCACCTTTTTTTTATCAACACGCCGCTTAAAACGTAAATTTGTAACATATACATATGCATATTAGATACATGTGACTCTTGCTGTAGTTGAAACCCATTCAGATTGAGACTATGTGAGTTCCATAACTCTTAAATATAATGTCGAGATTTTTCTTCTTGAGATATATTTTAATTTATTTCTCTTTTACTGCGATATGTTCAATTTCTTGATTAGAAAATTGCTAAATCAATTGGTTAAATACTGCTGGTACATTATTTTTGCATATTATTAAGAAGAAGAGAAAAAAATAGTTTCTTCTTGGTTCAAAGATAATGGATATTTTTTGCGCGAGCTGATCTCATCTTTGAGACACGTGAATTCATACCTTCCGCGTACTCAGGGTATCGCTGGGCACAATAAATGATGTTCTCTTAGAGTTATGGAACAGCAACGTTGCTAAAAGTGATACTGAAAGTTTCGTGATTGCAACACACGCATGAAGATTGGAAAACTTTGGTAAACGAGAACATCGGAGATCAGAGTTAGGCGGTTGTTTCCGCTAATTCGCTGCTACTACCGCTGATGCTAGAGGTACGTTTCCAAAGCTTTGCCGCTATTCCACTATACTAGAATGATCGTCCATTAGCCTCCATGCTTATGCCTGCTTTAACGTAAAGGAAATATTATATATATTGGAATACAAATCATTTTATACAAAAATTTATATTGCATATAGACTAAAATACAACAACTTTGGCTGATAATCACGCACATATTATACATAATTGCGGCACTTTCAGATACAAACTTCCATTTTCTTTTCGTTTCTTTTCTCTTTTCTACAATGTTACATTATTCTGAATTTTTTTATAATACCTTTTATCCATATTATTTAGCTTTATTAAGCTATTTTTATTGCATTAACGTGTGCGAGAAATGCGAAAAGATGTATAATTTGTATTTGTAGCATGTATCTGAGCCATCCTGATTCTAATTTTAAAAAATTCGAAAATTGACGCTTAGCGAGCGCCAGTTGTCTTCCTCAAGTATTGTTCTGTGTGTACCTTTTCGTATTTCTGTTTCGTCTTGGGTGATCTATTCTCTTGTTACTGATTTATAAAAATATTGAATATATTCGCGCCTTATACTGCTTTGACAAGGTTTGCCAGAGGACGGCTTTGTAAGAAAATAAGTTAAGTAAAGTCCTAATAAAAAAGCCCAGCAAGCCACGCCAGGTAATTACATATGTGTTTTCAGGATGAAATGGAGACAATGCGTCATTCTACACAGCGAGAGAGAGCACAACTTTCATGTCAATTAGCGCAAACAGAAGAGGAGGTACGTCATTTGAAGGACAAGGTATTCGTGTTAGAGCAGAGGATTGCTCTTGAAACGAATGATCAAGTGACAGTCGATGAAAGAATAGCTGATTTGATGCGTGAGAGGACACTGCTAGAGAGAAAGCTTGAAGAGGCGCATCTTCATCTCTCTGATATAAAGACCAGCTGGTCAGGCAAAATCTCCAGCCTCGAGACGCAGGTTGGCAGACTTAGCAGACAAGCCGGCGAGGAGGGACTGGAACGCAGACGGGTCGAACAGGAGAAAGAGAAACTCAAACAGAGAATCAAGCAGCTAGAAGCCGAGATAGAGGTGAACAATGTTGTCTTAGCGACGAAAGACGCCAAGCTTTTGCGCATGACAGAGGACATCGATGAAATGGCCATGGAACTAAAAGAGCTCCGGGCCAGTGTCGATGATGAGGTGGATGAATTTAAACGACAAATTGTGAGTTACCGCGATATGTAGTGACGACACGAAAAGTGTGCATGAGCTAGATTGTCTTTTACCAAAAATTTTTCCCGAATTTCGATTCTAGAGAGCTGTTTCTAGAATAGAAATAGAGAGAGAGAGATGTCGTCAAGCAATCATAATATTGAATTGTCTGTAATATACAAAATTTGTTGGCCTGAAGAATATGATCGTTTTCATTGTTATATAGCAAAAATGCAATAATTGTATGACGTAGTATATAACTTTCTATTCTGACAAAAACTATACGTTGATATGTCAAGAGAAATCCTTTATCTAGCATTTTTCATTTGTTTTAATATCAGGAGAGAGAAAGAGATATATGTCCATTATCTATACAATATTGTGTCTATAGTTTCAATATACGCTTGCAGACAACAGATGTAGCAACTTTAATCCTTTTTTATTCTTATTACATTTTGCAATATCTTTATATTTTAGTATATGTCATTGAGAGAAGGAGGAGTTATACCATTAAATTTTATAAGTTCATAAATTCTATTTTTTAGAGAGGAAATACATTAATTTACGTAGTTTTTTGCAATATATTTTTCTTGTCAAAACATTCCATATCTTTTAAATTTATGATCAATCAATGTCATCGAATATAATATAATAGTCTAAAGAAATTATAGCAAGTTAAATGTTATCTGTTATTACTTGTTTTCAAATTTCTATAATTATTTTCAGTAGAACAAATTAATTTTAATCACATATAACAATAGCAAATTTATATGAGTATAGAATGTTCTATATACTTAAAAATTAAAAATAAAAGGCAATAAGAGGCAAACACCAAATCGAATAAATATATTTGAATAAATATATTTAAATAAATGAAAGTACATATAAAAACAAATCAGAAGCCTCAGACGTGACCTTCGGTCATCAAATTTGACTCTCTTCAGTGACAAATCATAAATTAATACATTAATAAATAAAATACATAATACATTATAGAGTAAGTAATAAAATAAATTCTGTAATCGTTAATGAGTTAAAATTTTTTTAGATTTTAACTATTCTAACCTATTGTACATGAAATATAGATGTTTCCTCTTTCATTTGTGACTAAATACAGACAAAAATGTCAATTACTCTTTAAGTGAGAACGATTTGAATTTTGGTAGGCGATGGGTGAAGGCACGAAAGCATGTACATACATATATATATATGCATGTATGTATATGCTTTCGTCTATTTAAATACATTTATTCATCCATGATCTGGTGTCTGGTTCCCGTTGCTTTTTATTTTAATTTTTTAAGTTTATTGTTTGGGAGCCTGTAAATTTATTCTTTTAGAATATTCTATACATTTTTTTATATGGAAACAATGCACAAACACTAACATTTAATAAATGATGTTATATAACTTGTATATTATTTTTGTTTTAATATAACTAATTTTATATCAAATATTCCTATGTCAAATTGTTTATCAAATATTATATCAAATATTCCTATCTCAATTATTTAATATATCTCATTTTGACTGTTAGAAACGATCAAAATAAAGGTCTTACATATATCACTATTGCTAGAATTAAATTTATCAACTTAAATATATCAACTAAATGCTCGTAATATTTCGTTTGTGCCATTACATACAAAATTAATATAAACTTGGATGCATCTGCTGTTGCATCTTGTTAGTGTTATATGTGGAAACTATATTGATGGATTATTGCATGCTACTCTGAAGCTTGATGCTTCCTGCTTGTCGCACTTTTTGTCTTTCAATCTGTAGAGCACATGCCTTTATTACAATTTTTTTGCTTTTATGATATTGTTAATTAAAGCATGTTAAAAATTACTTGAATACGTTTTAGAAAAATCAATGTTAGAGAAATGAGCTGATTATGCAACTGATTCCTATCAGTATCAAAGATAATATATCTATCTTATATTGTTATATTGAGAGGGAGAGAGAAAGAGAGAGAGAGAGAGAGAGAGAGTGTGTATGCGCGCGCGCACGCGTGTATGTGTGTGCATGCGAGCGTATGTGCAAACTATGTACATTTTATTTGATGAAATAAAAAGGAAGCAAATATATTATCTCTTGCTTTTTACCAACTTTTAATTTTTTAATTATTTTTTGTTCCCCAGCAATCCTATTATATTCCTAAACATTTAAAGAGAACATAATTTCAAAATTTTTGTACCATGTATTGAGGAAATTTAATTTAAAAATGAAAGTATATTTTTTTATACACATACGCATATATTTTTCTCTAAACTTATAGTATTCTATCTTGTTGATAGTCTCCGTCGTTTGTTTAGTAAGAAACCTCTGATAGGACCAGTGTGTTACACTAACAAGTAAACCTATCAAAGTGGGGACACACCGATTTTTTTGAAACTTGACAGAAATGTAGAACTATGAAAAAACATTTGACCCATGTCTTTCCATTTTTACCCATAAACGGTGCTACGGTAGTTATAATTAAAAAATAACCTTTTTTAATAAATGCATATGTGCATAGATCTGTATGTCTAAAAGATAACTTAAAGATGTCTTAAAGATGTCTTTTAGACATGCGTGCTGTATTGTTATGCCAATGTAACGGAAGTTGGTAGTCGCAAGTCGTTAAACAGCGTACAAAGAGCGGCAAATTTTAAATACTTATCGTAACTATTATATAAAATGTCAATGCAATCTATAAAACAAAGTTATTCTATTTTTATTTTAATAAACGTAATAAATTAATATGGAAAAATAGAAGATGAAAATAGATTACAAATACGACAAATATAAAAGAATAAATAAAAAATTTTTGAAGTTATAAATTTTAACCTAAGATGACAGTAAAAATATTGGAGCTATGATATAATTTAATACACAAGTTACATCTTTAGAGTTAATAGCGAAAATAATAAAAGTTATTAGGTAAATTATACTTTTAACAACAAGGGAAGAAGGAAAATACGAATTTCTACAGTAAACTTGGTAAATATGGTTTGCTTTAATACAAAAAACCTTTCTAAAGTATAACTTCATGTCTACTCTAATTTTTATTTTTTTTATTAGGATTAGATAGGACAATTAGGATAATTAAAGAGAGCGATGACAACAGTGTATGTAGAAAACACAAAATACTGATTTTATATCATGTTGACTTAGGGACAGAGCACAAACGTATCAGCTTCCCTGATAGCACAAAAACTTTCAGTTATGTTGCAGTTATGTTGCAAGAACGTTTCAACGTCTCAATTGCCTATTATCACATTTGTAATATCTCTGAAACAATATTTTTAAAATATTACAATTGTGATATCTCTGCAATCATCTTGATTGAAACCTTACATTTGAAATGTTCCTGTAATATAGTAGTTTGCAACATTACAAATTATAGTTATACAGGGTGGGCCATTTTAATCCGAACACGGTAATATCTCCTCAGATAAAGGTGATAGCGGAAAATGCCTCAGACAAAAGTTGTTGGGTTTTGAGGGGGACATAAAATGGTGTCATTAATTTAATGGCACCACCTTATGTCCTTTGAACCAAACAACTTTTGTTTGAAATGTTTTTCCGTATCTTTCATATTTTTGGAGAGATATTTGCGTGGATTATTTAAAATGAGACACGCTGTATATAATATCTATACATGTACAAATGTCTAATAAGATATAATACCTGCAAAGGACAAGTAAAGCGGATTAAACTGATTAGCAAAGTACTATTTTGTTATTATGACAATAAATAATAAATCGTTTTAAGTACACTCTTAAACTGTTATAAATCAATCTCATTATTGTATAATCATTTTAAGTACATTACTTAAAATAATTTTGAAATAAGAACTAATTACAAATACAGGCCTTTCTTCATTAATTAATAACTTGGTATTTATTGTTATAATTGCAAAATAGTACTCAAAGGATAATTTTCTTTTCAGTTTAATCTGCTTTATCTACGTCCTGCAGCCATTACACGTACTATCAGACCCTGTATACAGGATGTTCGGAAATTCAACCGATAAATTTTCAAAGATTGTCGGGGCACCATAAGAATCATATTTTTGCAAATAAACCTGGGGTCGGAAATGTGTCATTACATTGCTACGACATACGGAGTGTTCGAAAGAGTCGGGATCTCGAAAAATATCACAAAATAATATCACAAATCAAATAAATTTTTGTGATACAATATTTCAAGGTCCCGACTCTTTCGAGCATACCGTATGCCGTAGCGATGTAATGACACGTTTCCAACCCCAGGCCTCATTTGCAAAGAATGATTCTTATGGTGTCCCCGAAAATTTGTCGGTTGAATTTCCAAACATCCTGTATACATATGTTTAAAAAAACATTAATTAACAATACAAAGCATGATTAAATTACATTAAATGTTAATTAAAACAATTTTTTATATTTGTTGTTTTCTTAGGAATCCTCCTCGCAACAGATCACTCAACTAAAATCAAATCTTGAAAATGCGATGAGTAAATTGACAGCGGCTACCAACGAGTTGGCGAGTCTTCGCATGTCCTTGGAAAAGGAACAATCGAGTAATTCCTTTTTATGTCTGGAACTAGCTCATCTACAAAAAAGTCTTGAATCTGAACAAGGAGTAGTAAGAGACTTGCAAGGTTTTCTCAAAAAGGAGAGAGACGAGAAAGATACCGCCTTATTAAGGAATGCCCAGATGTCACAGGACATAGAAATTGTAAAGCAGGAAAATCGGCAGCATAAGATCGAAAACATGGAACTGCAGAGCAAAGTAGAGAATTTGGAAGATAATCTAATGAGTAAAGTAAAAGAAGTGGAACAGGTGATAGTCACTTTAAAAGAATTTGAGCAAAAAGTCATAAAATTAGAAGAAGTAGAACATACAAGAGAGAAATTAGAAGGAAATGAAAGAATACTAAAAAGTAACTTGTTAGATCTAGAAGAGCAAATAAGTGAAAAAAATAAGGTAAATACCACATATTACAATTTATAGAATGTGATCTATATAAAATATTTAATAACACATGTAAGTCTATAAATATTCAATTCTAAAAACAATAATATTTATTAAATCTGTTATCTGAAATATTTGCATCAACTAAATAATTGCAATTTAATTTTTTTAAATTTTTTCTCTTTGCAGACAATCAAAGTTTTACAACAACGTTTAACTGACATGAAGAAAACACTTCAACGTGAATTAAAGATTCCATCTTCTTCGTTAGATAATGATGCTGATGCTTCTGCTGCAATTCTCAATCCAAGTTCATCCAAAACTGTCACTGCTAGACATAATAACTCCAGGGAGGATGATGTTAATTTTAAATACCTAAAACATGTTCTTATAAAATTTCTTACTAGCAGAGAATATGAGGTTCATATTTTAATCTAACTTGTATAT